GTGTTTATGAAAATTGAACAACCCAAGTTCCCCAGGCCTCGACAGCCCACAAAGCAGAAGCTCTCTTAGGAGTCGTCAGGACCCCGTTTTGTTGGCACTTGCAAGTACCTGCTCCTGGCGGAGTGGGGAGACGCAGAGGTTTGGAGAGACCTCCAAATGCTCTCCCAGGGGCTCACGAGCCTCTGGGCACCCGGCAAGCAGCTGTCTCCCGCCTGCCATGGACAGCCAGGCAGAGCACTGCCTTCTGAGCAGGGCCTAGGCCGTCCCTCTAGAACAGGTCCCTCTGCAAGGGTGGCGGTATCTGAGTTGTGGCAGGAACCATCCCCCGGGAGTTAGTCCACGCCCGGCCTTAGCGAGCACCAGTGGGCATGAGCTGTGTTGCTGATAGCACTCTTTACCTGAAATGAGTAGAGTTGCTCCAGATCGATGTTTCCTGCTGTAAACTTCACCATGAGCCAGTGTGTAAATTGTACCAGGACCTCATTGCAGAAGCCAAAGCTCATAGTGGTTGTGGGCCAAGCCCTGGGAGACTGATGCTTGGGGAGCTGAAGGGCTCCGTGGGCATCGGGACGTCCCCTCCCCACCCCCCCCTCCCCCCCGAACACCACATGCACCAGAGTCTTCTATCCAAGACCTGCACAGGCCCTGAGGAAAGATGCCCACATTGCAAAAGCGGAGAAGAGCTCCCAGTGGGCCCACCCCAGGGCACACAGCTAGGTGATGGCAGACTCAGAACCAGAACCTGAGTCTCTGACCCCAGCTGGGATTCTTTCTATGACAACAGGTGGCTTCCTAGCCACCATCCTTTCCCCCACACTCAGGTGCTCAGCTTGTCAGCACCAACAAACACGCCAGGACCTGGCTCCTAACCAGTTCTCAGGCACAGCTACAGCTTCAAACCCCTCCTTTTGCTCCCCTCCCTCCCTGGTTATGCAACTCTTCTAATTCGGCTCAGCCGCTCAGCTGGGAGTCCGGTCCTAATCCCCCAGCTGGGCTGGTTCACAAAGGCTGCCCTGTGCAGCGGGGATGTTCCTTCTGCTCTGGCCCAGAGGACACTGTGGGAGGAGGGGCAGCAAGAAGGAGCCCAAGATCCAGCATAATCCCCCCCGACATGGGCCCTCGTGTGTCCACCGGCCCTTTAAAAGGGAGGGGTCTGGTTTTCAGGAGCCAGAGAAGCGCTGGGCCAGGGGAAGCGAGATGGCAGAGGCCGGGTCCCTGCCCACAGGCTTTGGGGAGCTGGAGGTGCTGGCTGTAGGGGTGGTGCTGCTGGTGGAAGGTGAGCAGGCGCCCGGGCAGAGCGGGGCCCATTGGTCGCCCAGAGTCGGGCTGCGGTTCTGAGGCTGGCAAGGAGAGGTCCCCAGCCCCCTCTGTGCTGGGTCCCCGGGGCTTTTGGTGGCTGCATTGGGGAGATGCAACTTGCAGTCTGGGAGCCGAGAAGAAGGAGCCAGCAGAGGGTCAGGGAGGAGGGCCTCTGAGAGGGGGCATCTACCAGGGCGCAACCAAGCACCAGCTGCAAGCCTTTGCACTGTCCCTCCAACACGGAAACTGTTTACTCCCTGGAGACTGAGAATCTGTGTAAGATCAGGCCCCGGTAGGCGCTGGAGACAGTACTGCCACCCGTGTGCCTGCAACCGAGTCACTCGAGCTCTGGCCCTCGGTGCCCTGGCCTCCTGGGTGTGTGGGGACGAAGGGGTCATAAGGCACCAGCTGAGACAGACACCTCCCTGCACCCCATTCCTGCCACCACCTCCTTTTCTCGGCCCTAAGCATTCCCATGGCCGGGCGACGGGGCCCATGAGGTGCCAGCCTCACCCCGCATCCCCACGGTGCTCACTGAGGCCAGAGCTGGGGCTGCCGGCCAGCCAGACGAGACCGGTGGGGAGAACCCTTGATCAGAAATAATCTGCACATTTTCTCACCCAACGAGAGTCGCCAGTGGAGTGGGAGTGGAGCCGGCGGGCTGGTCCTGGTGGCCCGGCCGCGCTTCCTCTCTCCTGGGAAGCTGCAGCCCAGCTCCCCTGTGCCCTGAACACGCCTTGACATTGCACCACGGCACGTCTTTGCACACGCTGCTCCTCTTTCCAGAAGGCTCTCTCTCACCCTGTCTTCCTAGTAAGTGCTCAGTTTTGAAGGCAGGATGCTTCCCCATTTCTCACTTAGATGGGAGAAGCTGCGGCTTAGCGTGGGTACGGAGTGACCAGACGAACTTCAATGTCAGCTGCAGCAGCAAGACAAGTACGAGAACCTCCTGTGTCGACCGCTCCCTGGTCAGTCAGTCTCACTCGCGAAAGATGGCCTGAACTGGAGAAACTGAGCTCACTCTCCACTGGGCGCCCCTTATCTAAGGGAGGTTAGTTGG